GTCAAAATTAGTGAGGCATACATCAATAATGTAGGGATGATTAGCAATGCGAAGCACTCCTAAGATTATCAATTTTCTTTTCTCCTCATGAAACAAAAATCTATTTGCTTCTCCGGAAAAAGACTAAAAAAGAAACCCATAAAGAAATGGTGATAACTAAGAGAAAATGATATTGTATATCCGCTCTCAAAATAATAATCGAAAATATATATTATATATATTGTAGGTTATATATAAAAAATTATAAAAATTTTATATATTTTTTCGGTTATAAATTGTAAATAATGTTTGGTGCGGGCGTGATATTTGCCTATAACTAACCGTCTAAAAATTAAGTCTATCCCCTATGCACTCCCACACGTGACACCACTGAATATGTCCAAGTTTTGCCGAAAACAGAAAGATAAAGCCTACCCGCCCAACGTTGTACGTAATCTATCTTTTACTTATCAATTTCAATTTTATATCATTATGATGCTGTTGAGCTAAATACGTAATTTAAGATAAGGAAAAAAAGGAATTCTTTTAAATATAAACTAAAAGTAATTTTGGCTAATCTTAAGCATACTGTAATATCTCTAAAATTATGTCATTAAAAATAAAAAAATATTAAAATATACCATTATTCTTTTAGACAAACTAAAAATTAAAAGAGTCATAATAAATACTCCCTCCGTTTAACTTTTTTTTAGTTTAACTTGATATAAAGTATAATAAAGAAAGGAAAACTATTGAAATTTTTTATCTTAAATAAGTATATTATTTGTGTAATAAAAGCTTCTCATTATTGAAACAAACGACTAAAAAGAAAATAGTGCCGATTTTTTTATAACGGAGCGAATTGAACATATGAATGATTTTTAATTTGTTTTTAAAGAGCAAACACCTCCATCCAATATATGTACTTAATTCCCAACCTCTTCAGAGTTTCTCCACTGAAAACAATAACTTTGGTGTTTTTTTTTCTTCTTTTCCAAAATGAAGACTCTAATATATCTAGTCATATTGCTATTAACCTTAACACTGAAAACAAGCAGCAGCAGAAATAACCTAGTAGAAACCACATGCAAGAACACACCAAACTACAACCTCTGCCTAAAAACTCTACTCTCCGACAAACGCAGCGCTAGCGGCGACATCACGACGCTGGCGCTGATCGTCGTGGACGCCATCAAAGCGAAGGCGAATCAGGCGGCCAAAATCATCTCGAAGCTACGTCAATCCAATCCTCCAGCAGCTTGGAGAGTTCCATTAAAGAAGTGTGGTTTTTCGTATAAGGTAATTTTAACAGTAAGTTTGCCTGAAGCTATTGAAGCTTTGACTAAAGGGAACCCAAAATTTGCTGAAGATGGTATGGTTGGATGTTTTGGTGATTCTCAAGATTGTGAGGAGAATTTTAAGAGTAGTTTTTCTCCTCTTAGTGGTTTGAATACTGCAGTGCATGAGCTTTCTGTTGTTGGTAGAGCAATTATTAGAAATTTATTATGATTGACCATGTGACCTATAAGTCACGGATTCGAACCGTAAAAGCAACCACTAATATTTGCATTAAGATAGGTTACATCATATTCCTTGGAATGCGATCCTTCCTCGAATTGTACGTGAATACGAAATATCTAGTGTACCGGGTTGTCCCTTATTATGATGCACTCCCTTTTACAAATTCAGAAACTCTCCTTTTTTTGTTTTTTCCTTTCACTTCCTTTGTTGTTAGTGATGCAGTTTAAGATGATTCTCACTTAAGGTATGTTGTCTTTTCTTTCTGTCTTTTTTAGTAGTTTTTTTTCTTTTTTCTTTTTTCTTTTTTCTTTTTGGGAATTGGAGCAAGTTAAAATAGAGACTAAAAGGTTCAAAATAATATTTTAAGCATAAATTATCCCAAAAGATTTGTAAATGAGTAAGATTTGTGACAAAATGAAGATCTGAAAAAGCTTTTTTCAGATGTTCAAAAAAATTTAACTTTACTCAAACAAGAAAAAAAATCATAGTTTGGTGCTATCGGAAATTGAGTAACTTTACCTTCCGTGGGAGCAATCTTCCGTTTAACCTATGGTCTAATATTAAAAAGTCTCGTTTTTTTGCCTTAACCCCTAACGGAGCTCAAACCCGTGGGTAATAGTAAATCATACTAATTAAACGTTGAAAGGTATTATGGATCTATTTTCTCACGTTTTGTCCACCCATTTCAGGCTAACAACAAAGGAATGAGTAAACCAAAGTGTAGTAGAGGACAAAATTGAATAACTCTGATACTAAAAAAAGTAGTCCGGTGCACCCAGTGGTGGCGGCAAGATCTCCGAGAAGGGAGTTCAAGAACAAAAAGATCATAGCTAGTGGGACTTGAACCTATGACTTTTCAAAGATTTTGAACCCCCTTGACCACTAAGCTACACTTTTGGGTTATGTCAAGGGAGTTCAAAACTTAATATATAGAGGTAAAAAATAGATTTTGCCTTATATATACAGTGTAAAGTTCGGATGAACCCCCTTCCGCCCCCCTAAATCCGCCCCCGGGTGCACCAAGTTACCGCTATGTGTAGGGTCCGGGTAAGGGCTAAACCAAAAGGGTCTATTTTACGCAATCTTACCCTGCGTATTTTTGCAAGAGGTTTTTTCCACGGCTCGAACCCGTGACCTCCTGGTCACATGACAACAACTTTACCAATTACGCCAAGGCTCCCCTTCCGAATAATTCTGATACTACAAAGAGAAATTTGGATGTTTTCCCTTCAAACAAATATTTTTTGCAAGAACCGGAAAACTGCAAGCTCCAATTTTCAATTTTCAAAACAAACGCAATAAATTTGAGCGCCTGCTCATTTTCAACTGGTGAGCTGATATTTCTATGGATATATATTTCCCCTGTTTCTGTTTCTTTTTGCTGCCCCCTTTCCTCCCTGTCCTTGTCTCTGTTGCAGCATAAGCACATGGTATTTAAGGTGCATGTCTAATATCTTTCCATGAAATAAAGGGTACAAAACACTATTAGACAGTAGTCTGTTTTGTTCTTAGCTTAAACCATAAGGCAATCATTATAGAAAATTGAAAGGGAAAAGCGTCGAACGTGGAACCATGGTACTTCTAACCTTGCCTTGCTTCTGTGTAAAGAGAGGACAGGAACCTTTCTACAAAGAAGAGTTACTTACTATTCCATTAGGTACCTGCAACTTTCCGTCAGCACAGATATCAGGTAACTCTCCCTAGCTTAGGTATATTGGAAGAAATCACTTAGTGCTTTTTTGTATCCGTTGCGACTCGAACCCAAGACCTCGTGGTTCCCTTCTTGCTTCATTGATCACTAGAACACACCCTTGGGTACCAGAAGAGTTACTTATAATTCAAATTCTCCAGTTATAGTTAAGTAGTATTATTTTTAGACTAAGAGAAGTATCTCCAGAAGATACTTAAGTCATGAATCCTGATGGTATTAAAGATTATTAACCATTAACTTAATGTTTTGAAGCATACAGATATGCAGCCAGGATGGTATGTCTTCAAATCAAAAAAATATGGTCCGAAAGAAAGTATATCCTACTCCATTAAAATGCAAGTCAGTCTGATTTTAGGCGTATCTCAGTTCTCCGCTATCAATACATAAGCATGTCAAAATAGTTGATCTAGCTCTAAGCAGCAGCAGCAGCAACAACAACAAAAAATCCAGTGTAATCTCACAAGTGGGATCTGGGGAGGATAGTGTATACGTAGATCTTACTCCTACCTTGTGAGAGTAGAGAGGCTCTAAGCAGCAGATCTCAGATAAAATTTCAGGGGCCTATAATTGCTGATCAGTACTATGCACTAAACAACTAGTCCAAATATCATAGAGTTTTTGGCCAAATATAGTCCCTTATCTTTGAGGATAGGTCTATTTTTGTCCCTCAAATATGACCTTGAGCATCTTTAATCCCTTAAATATGCCAAAGTAGAGCATCTTTAGTCTCAGTGACACAATCTGTCCAAAAACTAATGTGACATGTGACACTGTAAGAACTAAGAAGAAGACCAACAGTAAAAGAAAAAGCCATTCCCATTTCCCCCAACTCATTCACGAAAAAGAGCTTGAATATCCCTACTTCCTTGAAGAAAACCATTCCTTCCACTGTTCTCCAAAATGAAAAAAAAGGATTGTGTCAAACTCTCATAGCAATAATTTAAAGCTCAACAGGACAAGAAAATGTTCCCATTTTTCCTTTATTTGGAAAATAATCTTCCCCGATTTCTGAAAAAAGAAACTGTGTTTAGTTCAGCCTTTTGTATATCTCCAAAACTCCTTAAAAATGTCTCAACGCAAAAGAGTAAAACTACAAAATCGTAGTTTCGAACTGCAATCACAATGGTGAGCAAAAACAAATTCGGTTTGGAAATATGGAGATCAAAATCAATTTTCAAAATGTAGAAACCAAAACTAATTCCAAGATCAATTATGGGGTTGGTTTCGACACTCACCGTCTTTTTAATTTACTTATCGAAAATGTTTTATAAACCAACACCCACTAATAGTACAGTGCTGATAAATTTGAAATTTTATAAGTTTCTAGTACAGAGCTTATAAATTTGAGATTTTAAAGTTGAAACTTCTACTATTAAAATTTTCGGTTAATTTTTCCAAAAAGAAAAGTTGAAATTTGAAAAAATAGAGCAGCCAGGATCACTTCTAGCATATTATTGAAGCAAATGAATAAGCAGATTGGAAACTGGAGCAGAAGGGGGTATTTTCAAGCTTTAAATTTTAGAAAACATTACCTAAAAATGAGGAATTAAAGTGATAATTTACGTTACCTAATAAAAGGAGATGAAACGTTTTGCTTCAGATCGGAAGATTTGCTTCATGAATCAGAGTTGGGTAACACCATTAGTTTTTGAACACATTCTGTCACTAAGACTAAAGGTACTCTACTTTAGCATACTTAAGGGATTAAATATGGTCGGGGTTATATTTGAGGGACAAAAATAGACCTACCCTCAAAGATAAGGGACAATATTGGTAAAAAAAACTCAAATATCATACATAATTCATAGCATTTGTCTACTTACACACTCATAGGAGTATTATGATCATTATCAGCATTAACAACACTGAGGTACAACTTTGGTCTTCAAACGATCTAGTACCAAGGAGTTAAGATTATACAACTGACAAGCAAAAGAAACTCATTTATCACCAGTTTCACTTTCACTTGATATCAACATTCTTTAGATATCTTTTGNCCAACCAACAACCACAAAGAAAGTAATTCGTCAATATGAGGCTAGCTACTGAATTGGCAGTTCTGAGATATCCTCGACATGCTATGCCAGTGGTTATTTATCTCAATCAACCAGTATCAATCACTGTACAGGTTATACAAATTAGGTATATCTTGTGCCAATGAGTCACTTACGAAGTACTCCTTCAGGCTGGCGCATACCAGAAACGTAGTGGCAATCTGTATTCATATTTGAATAGTTCGAGCAATGACACTAATTTCAGCTTGTGACACTTTCCCGACTATTCCCATGAGTTAAACCAGAAGCGTGCTCCACAGGACTACAAGATAAGAAGCAAATGGAAAAACTTAGCCGACTAGAATCATCCGTAACAACAGAATGTAAAGTACCATTTTCAGATGATTATAGATATATAGGATAGTACATACTCAGAAGATCCAGAGTCCGCAAAGATGGCATTACTAGTGGATAAATTCGAATGGTCCTGTACAATAATGAACCTATTCTTCCTTACGCTGCCGGATTGGACAGAATCGTAAAAGCTCATAGCTGAACTTCTGTAAGACATCCCTGCATACAATATTGCAAACACCAAATCATCAGAAATTTTGCAACCTGAGACAAAATCTTGGTTCCACAGTATGAATAAAACGGGAGAAGGAACTAAAAGGAGAAGAAAGAGAACACAAGGGTGTGTCAATTGCAAAAATGTGATTTTCCAACACCACCCAGTTGCTGACTAAAAATGCAAAGAATCAGCGCACATATATATCGTGTCCAGCGATATTTTTGCATCTTCCTACTTTCATGAAGATGCTCACATAACGGGAACCGGTATCAGTATCAAGACGACGACAACAACAAACCCAGTGTAATCCCACAAGTGGGGTAAGGTATCAGTATCAAGAGAAAACAAAGTTCCAAAACAAGAATGATGTTGACATATATACAGAATTAAGGAGATAACCAACAGCTCCATTATGATTTTGCTTGTACGGTGACCGGTACGAAGCCATTGTTAGCATTCCATACACAAGTAACACCAATATGTTGTCACTTAAAAGCATGAAACACAAACAAAAGAAACTGAGTACAGGTATGAAATGCAATTAACATGACTTGACATGCTGAAGAATGAAGAAAGTCAAATTTTATCTTAATGAGGAGCAATCTATTGGAGCAGATTTTCATAAAAACTTGATTCTTAATATAATTACACTCTAAAATAGGACATAGGAAATCCAAACTGAAAAATCCAGATATTTACCTTGAAACAATAGCAGAAAAAAGAAGAAGACAGTAAAGAGCAAGGCAAGGAAACTGCCATTCAATACTGATGATGTTGACGATGCCTTGGCTGCTTTCATTTTCTTCAAAGCCTTCATTCGTTCAATTCGTGCACGTTTGATCATTGCGAGTTCCGCTATCTCTTTTATCAGCTTCTGGTCAGCAGCATCCAATGAAAATCCTCTGGGAGGTCTAGGAGGCTTAGGAGGTTTTTTAGCACTCATTGATTTACGTTTTTCTTTCACCGTTTTCTTCTCTACTAAATTTGTCTTGTCTATAAACACTCTAACATTCCCCGGAGAAAGCTCATCGCCGTCTTTCATATTTCTGTTTATATTCAACCCATTTTCAGCTCTAGAAAGTTCTTCACCATCATCATTACAGACACTAGTGTATAATATATCCCCTGTTTTGGCATTTAAAGGAGAATTAGTACTTCTTGCTTCTTCACTTGTACTTCTACAACTCTCGAGATCAACCACAAAATCCCTCTCTGTAGATGAAATATGATCCATCAAAACCTCACTCAACAAATCTCAATCTCGTTACACTTATACAATACCAAACTCATCAATCGTAGAAATGCAGCAAGCAAATTCGGCTATCTTCTTCAAATTATCATCTGAAGCAAACTCTGAAAAAAAAAGTATATCAAACACTTTAAATTCCTAAGGATCAATAGGCAATTAATAGCAGAGGTGGATCCAAGATCTGAACTTTATGTTCGCGTTCGAAATTCTACCGCATTCTGTTTGATTTACTGAGTTCGAAATCTATTATTTGCACTTATTTGGAGGAATTTTCAACATATATAGCAAAAGTTACTGAAATGAGATGAACCCATACCTGGCATGCTAAATCCACCCCTTATTTTTTGTACCATTTTAACAATTTCCAATGACCTAATATTGCTAAATTGAAGGAAGTAACCATCAATTCTTTAACATTATTCTTGTATTGAAGTACATTCTACTCAGCTCTAGGTACCAGCACTTCAAAATTCAGCAAAACTAACAACTCATAATGCTCATGGATTCACTACAGTAGGTAAACAAGTACTGAATTGCAAAGAAAAAGGTAAAGACTTAAATTTTAGAAACAAATAAATCCTACAATCTCAATAAAACCAATTAAAGTTGCTCAATCTAAACAAATCATGTATCAATAAACACAATAAAGACATAAAGAAAGTGAAAAAACGAGAGAGTACCTTGACTTGAAGAGAGAGTGAGAAAAAGAGATTTAGCTCAGATAGAAGAAAGTGAAGGGTAATGTAAGAAATTTAATAGTAGAGGAGCCTATGTTGAGTACTACACTAAAATATTTGAGATCTGAAATAGTACTGTAGCAGAAAGTTCATTAAAGTGAGTGCGTCTATTTTAATGTGATAAGTGATACTCCACCAAACAAGGGTTGCAAGTTTTATCGATAGGTCGCGGGTTCAAGACGTGGTATGGAGTCGGTCTTTGTTAGAAAATACTTTATTCACCGTGTATAACTTTTCGCGAATTTGGATTTAGTTGGGTCCCAATATGGATACCGGATACCAGATGGAAAACTATAGATTTAGTCATACTCCAATGTGGGAACCGAACATCGAATGGGAAATCGAAAAAAAAAATAAGTGATACACCATACGGTCCACTTTAATTGATTTTTTTACTTTTTTCTTGTGATCTACAATATTTGATTTTTTCAAACATTAAGAAATAATCAACTTTTTGTTTTGCAAAATTATCCTTGGAATAAATAGCATAAGACTATTTGTTATATTTCTAATGAATAAATTAAGATTAATATAATAATTTTTATTGTTAATTAATGCTAAATGGTGAATTTCTTTATATGTGTGAAAAATAACCAAAAAAATAACTAAAGTAGACCATAGAGAGAGTAAGTGATACCCCTACAATTCACTTTAATATTTTTTGACATTTTTATTTTGGTTCATAATATTTGATTTTGTGAGATATCAACAATAAAGAATCTAAAAATATTTATTATATTTTTTAATGAATAAATTAAAGTTAATATGATTATTTTTATTGATAATTAGTGTTAAAACGTGAATTGCGCGAAAATAGCCTATTAAAGTAACTGACTTTCAGTTTGAATTATTACGAGAGAGAAACAAAGCGACAGAAAGGCAAGCGCACGAGGGGTTATCTGGGCGATAATTAGACATGGATTTGAAGTTCAAGATTTTAGGATAATTTATTCTAAGTTATTGAGTTGGAAATTAATCATCTGTACTTATTTAATGAATTGTTTGAGTTAAAATCATTGAGTTTTAGGTAGGAATTAACCTCGATATACTACTGACTTTATGGGTTTTAATTCTCCATCATATCATACCTAGTCAGTTTTTTACCATTTGATTTTTTAAATTAACAGCAAGTCAGCAACAGATGAGGAAAGAAAAGAAGAAGTAGAAGGAGCAAGGAATAAAAAAGGACTTTTTTTCTACTTTTAGCCCCTATCAAAACTATTTACATTCAGTAGCCGAAAAGTATATAAAATTTATATAATTTTTGTATCTAATATACAATATATATATATATAAAAAAAATATTTTACTATTATTTTGAGAACGACTATATAATATTATTTTTAAATAAAAATATTAAAATTCGATCCATAAGACATTTGGCATTGATTACTAATTCCACCGACACTCACTTCTTGACACAGTCCAAAGGATTTCCACTTTCATCACCTTGGACCCAATCATGATCCTTGGGGGTCCTGCCGTTGGGTGATTTGCACAAATAGGGACATTTTGGTGTCGCTTTTGATTTTTTTTATACGTTTGACTTTTGACCTTAAAGATTTTTCACTGGAACGAGCGGGAGTCAAAATCAAAATCATTTAATTTTCAAGGTCATTGGGTGTGTTCTAACCGCCGTTTCTATTGATTATTTTAAGAACTGTTAAAAAAGCTTGGCCCATTAGACTAGCCTAACATAGCCCTGTATTTAAATCGGGTTAGGTTAAGATTGTTCGAGTCCATTTAAGATCGAGACTTATAAGCCCGATCCAAATCATTTTACCAACCTTGTGGCTTTGATTAAGGTTGCCTGTGGACTAAAATAAATATTAGAGATATTTTCAAAAAGAGAAATTTTCATAAATCACTATTATTTAGTGGTTATTAACTTTCTATAGTTATCATATACATAATTGCTTCCTATAACTACTATTCAGTTGTTACGGTAGTGTATTCGATGTATTCGTTGTATTCGCGTTGTTGTATTCATGAATACAACAGCAAAAAGCGCATAAAATCAGGGTAGTCCGGTTGTACGCGCATGTATTCAAATGTATTCGGGCCATGTATTCATGAATACAGCAGCAAAAAGCGCCTAAAATCAGGGTAATCCAGTTGTATGCGTATGTATTCATATGTATTCGTGTTGTTGTATTCATGAATACAGCAATAAA